AGACCTGTTATTTGACTTAAAAGTACATGATGGAAAACTTCATTTCTTTCAATTAGGATTTCTTAGGTAAGGGCCAGGTTAGACCCAGCCTTTTCTGAGTTACTTCTCACGCATTAGAATTCTTAAAATGAAAGTTTATATCCTAGTGGGCATTGTCTTATGGTTGCCTTTTAGAGCAAGTCAGAGGGTGGTGGTTTCTCTGGGTGATGCCTGTGTAGTCATTTGATTTAGTCTGCAGTGGGACTTTTCTGTCAAGGGCCAGATAATAAATATTTTCAGCTTTGTGGATCGTATCTTTTACAGCTACTTAGCTCTGCAGTTGTAGTGCACAGGCAGCCATAGACAATATGTAAATGAATTAATGTGGCTGTGTTCCAATAAAACTTTAGTTACAAACACAGGTGATGGGTGGATTTGGCACGTGGGCCAGTTGCCAACCCCTAGTGTAGGTGGTCTGTTTTGGTAGTTTCTTTGAGAAATGATGTGTTCTGTTTGTAGGTACTGATGCTTATAGATGCCAGCTTTGGGTTTGAAATGGAAACCTTTGAGTTTCTAAACATCTTTCAAGTACATGGCTTTCCTAAAATTATGGGAGTTCTCACCCACCTCGACTCCTTCAAGCATAATAAGCAACTGAAGAAGACAAGCGATTAAAACACACGTTCTGGACCGAAGTTTTCCCGGTAGGAAGAGAAATAATTGTTAGATACTGATAGTATAATCCTTTTAAGACAGACGGAAGAGGCAGGCACAGTGGCTCCTGCCTGTAATCCCAGCACTTTGGGAAGCAGAGTGGGGCTGATCACTTGAGGCCAGGAGTTTAGAGCTCAGGGCAATATGGCCAAACCCCGTCTCTACTAAAAATGCAAAAATTAGTTGGGTGTGGTGGTGCGTGCCTGTAATCCCAGCTACTCTGGAGGCTGAGATGTGAGAATTACTGGAACCTGGGAGGCAGAGGGTGCAATGAGCTGAGATTGTGCCACTGCACTCCAGCTTGGGTGACAGAGTGAGACTCTGTCTCAAAAAACAAACAAACAAACAAAAAACTGAAGAGACATTAGATTTGCCTCCTGAATTCCCTTTGTGTATGTGTTCGCAGTCCCTGACCTCCTGAATTCCCATTGTGTATGTGTTCCCAGTCTCTGGAAGGTTTCCCTCAGGAGAGCACTTATTCTGGGCCTCTTGGTGTATCTCATTTGTCCCTGTACCTGCTGCATCAGGCAGTGTTTGGCTGTTTTGGGGTTAGTACTTAATAGAATACATCAGAAGTTTCTCCCAGTTACAGGACCAGGCACTGCCCCTTCCTTTCCATACTGCTCTGGTCCATCGGCCACAGAACCGTTTCTGTGCTCAGAGGCCTCACCTCCCTCTCCTCACCATACTTAGATGGATGCCCCTGCTCGGCTGCAGAGCAGTCTGCCTCTGTGGGGTTCTAATAAGTCCTGAAAGAAGCCAGCAAGGCTCTGGAAGCGGAAGTCTCCCTTCTTAGGATTGCTGCTTGTTTAGAGCTTTTATTTTGTTGCAGTTTTGACAAGAACTTAATTGAAATTTAATTTTTAATTTTCCTTTAATGTTTAGGGTGCCAAACTGTTCTACCTTTCTGGAATGATGCCTGGAGAATAACAAAACCAAGAAATCCACAATCTAGGCCATTTTATTACAGTTATGAAGTTTAGGCCTTTCACATGGCGAACTTCTCACCCTTATATTCTGGCAGACAGGTAAAAAGTGATTATAAACCTTTTCTTCCCAGGCCATATATTTCAAAGCTAAAAAGGCTAGAAAAAGAACAGTGATAGGATTTATTTTGTGCCTATTTGAATAGTGGTGGTAGAAGTATAGTTGATGGAAAATGTCTACTTATATCATTGCTCAAAGATGCTGTGCCTTTGGGAGTAAATTAATTATGAGATGTTTAGGAGAATGGGAAGACTTGGAAACATTTAAGCCTACAGGATGTGGCCCCATCCTACATTCATCCTCAGTTTTCAGTGATGCTGCCTTCGTGTCCGGGTGCTTGAGTCCTTCATGGGTGCCTTCAGTTTCCTTCCTTTGTGCTCTTCTTTGTGCTGTGGTTTTCTCAGCCTGGAATACCCTTTCTCCACCTGCCAGAATCTAAGCCACAGTAGAAATCCCAGAGCACAGGCTCACCCTCTTCCAGAAACGGATTTTTTGAATATGTTCTTCACTCTTTGTTGACCCCAGGTGGACGTCATCTCCCTGTCTGGTGTCTTATGGAATGAATGTCACTTTCAGCCTAGAGACACAGTTGTGTGCCTGTCCCTTTTCCTCTGCTGGATGGTGAATGGTGCTTCCTTGTTTCTGCATTTTCTAGTATTCTGAATGACGTGCTTAGTGGACAAGAGTGTGATGAGTCATTGACACATGAAAGGAGGTATAGGAACTTTTGGCATTGATTTCTGCTGTATGATTGAGTTTATTTTTCTAGGATGGAAGATTTGACAAACCCAGAGGATATCTGAACAAACATCAAATGTGACTGGCAGGTGTCACTTTATGGTTATGTAAGAGGAGCACACTTGAAAAGTAAAAGCCAAATTCACATGGCAGGTATTCTCTTGTTGTAGAACATACTAGAATTACACATAGGATTCTTGGGATGACTTCATTTCTCAGGAAAACTGAAAAATGACCCAACAAGGGAAGATGGCCTTGCTGGAGGTTTTAAAAGTAACCCAGCTATGTGTAGGCCTGCAAAGGTGTTACCGAATCCCCTCTTCTCTGACCTCTTGTCTTGTAGCTAGAGGGCCACTGTTGCAGTGTGGCACGATGCTCTTCTTTAGGGTCATGGTTTAAACCCTTGGACTGTGTATCGTTTTTATCCCCCAAGTCACCAGTAGATACTCACTGACTTCTTGTCAGCTGAAGCTGGCTTTTTGGGTCCTGTCTTCCAGGGATAGGAGATTTTGCCATGAGTGACATCAGTTTCCTCCCAGACCCTTGCGCTCTTCCTGAACAACGAAAGAAGTGCTGTTTAAATGAGAAGGAGCAGCTGGTTTATGCGCCTCTTTCTGGAGTTGGGCGTGTGCTATATGACAAAGACGCTGTCTATGTTGACCTTGGTTCAGCCACGGTTTTCAGGCATCGGTGAGACGGGGGTCATTGCTCTGAACTCATTATTCTTTCCGAATGTATTTTTTAACTAAAAATGTAATATACTCAATTTTTATTTATTGAAGATTTTTCTCTTATAATAAAGGCCCAAATGCATATTGTAAATATGTAGAATAAAAAGAATACCTTGTTTTCATTGTACCAAGCAGAAGCATCCTGTCCTCCATGCCTCCTTGATCCGTGGCCCCAGCGCAGGCCCTGCTGCCAGTGTGGCACCTGCACGGCTTATCTCCGTTTCTACAAAACCAGTGTGCTCGCCAGCTCTCGTTGGTTTTTTCTTTTTCTTTTTCTCATTCACAATGGTCTCCTCATTCTTTATTTTGAAGTGGATTTCCAATATTTATTTCTTAGTTCTGAAAGGGAATTTTATTGGGTTAAAATCAGGGTTATTTTAAAATGTTAGAAAAGCTAGCATTGTTGTAGGATTGGAACTGAGATTTTTCTAGCTAGGTGTTTAGGTTATCAGGTTATATTCTCCCTGAACTTTGGAAAAGTTTAATGGAGATGGGGATCCATTTCAAGGTTTATTGTAAGGATTTTCTTCTCTGGTTTTTGTGGCATTAAGAAAGGTTTTCAGGAAATGTATAATTTTGAGAATGATAATTTTGAGAACTGAGTGAAACCAGTGTCTCTCCAGGATCTTTATGCTTTCCTCATGTGCCCTTTCTTGGTGGTCTTGACAGGACGAGGTGGAGCCCACCCATGAGCTGGTCGAGTCTTATCTCCACCCACTCCACCATTGATGCCAAGGTGGCTTCCAGTCGGGTGACGCTGTTTTCTGATTCCAAGCCACTTGGGTCAGAGGCTATAGATAATCAAGGGTAAGTCTGCTTTTTTTCTATTTTTAATGAAAAGATGTATTACAGAAGATCATATCACCCATAATTCTGCCATCATAACACATTTTGGTGGTATTCATTCTATGTTGTTTTGTTTTTCTTTGTGTGTGCATGTGTCTCTGAGGGCTCTTCACTTACCTGACATTACGAGGGGATCTTTTCTTGAAATAAAATACAGGATGCGTTTTTCAACAGACCCCAAATATTCCTCAAATACCACGCCATCTTCCATAGGTTGCTTTTTTGTTTTTTAAGAGATCTGAGGCCACTTGGCTTTCGTTTCGTGGCCAAAACACTAGAGCAGAGTTAGGGAGTTTGTGGCTGTCCAGAAGCCACATGCCTTGTCTCTGAAAGTTTTATTTAGATTATGTTGTATTATCTCCCATGGGTAGGTTTCCACTGATGTATAGCTTATATGAATTATTTTTCAGCCTGGCTTAGAAATTTGTATACCTTTATACATAGTGGGTGTTTGTAAAACATTGGTTTTGTTGTATCGATTTATGATGCCCAGTAAAATTTATCTAAAAGTTTTGAGATAATCTAGTATGTAATTTGTTACAGTGTGCATAAACTACCTACCTCAGTGCTTGACATAAAGAGTGTTATTGGCTGTTTTCATTTTGCGTATCTTTCTAGTCATCCTTGTCTACAAGAATACTCTCTTCTAATACAGTTACAGTTAAAATACATAATTTTATTTCTATATTATGAACATTTTGTTTTCTATACAGTCTTTATGTAGTTGTCATTTTGTTGTTACCGGTGTTTTTTTGTTATTGTGGGTTTTTTTTGTTTTTGTTTTGGGATAAGGTCTCACTTGGTCTCCCAGGCTGGAGTGCAGTGGTGTGATCTTGGCTCACTGCAGCCTTGAACTCCCAGTCCCAAGTGATCCTCCCGCTTCAGCCTCACAAGTAACTGGGACTACAGGAGTGCACCACCACTCCTGGCTAATTTTTTTAAAATTTTGTTCTAGGGACGAGTTCTCACTATGTTGCCTAGGCTGGTCTTGAACTCCTGGGCTCAAGGAATCCTTCCACCTTGGCCGCCCAAAGTCCTGCGATTACATGTGTGAGCCACTATGCCTGGCCTATAATTGCTGTATTCTAACTTATCCATCTCTTATGGTACGATTTTTCATTTTGTCTAATTTATGGTTTTGTACTTGTATATATCGTGCTATGTTAAATAGCTTCTTATGGTTTTCTTTTATCCAGTGATTTTAGCCTCCTGATAATCTTCTCTATCAGTTATGGCACTGGTGACTTAAAATGGATGTTCTTCCTCTATCATTCCTCCTACATTTGTTACCTGGCATTTTTGACAAAGAGCTTTCACTTTTCCTCTTTATTTTGGTATCACTGCTGACTAATGCACTTGCATTTTATTCCGTAGGTTATTTTCCATCACTGTCATTGTTCTTTCTGATGCCTATGCTGTCCCAGGTTCAGCCACAGGAGCCTTCAGCCTGTCTCCTGTGTCCTCTCAACTGTCTCTGTTAGTCTTTGAGCATTTCTTACTTTCTGACAGAACAAGAGGATCCAGGCTCATGTTGCCTTCTTTCTGCCTTGGGCCTGGACTCAGCCATTTCTCTTAAGGATCATGTGTTTTTAGCTTAGAAATTAATCAGCTTTCCAAAAGATTTAAAAAACACTAACTTCCCTGTTGAGCAATTTTTTTTCTAAAATTAGATATTTTTTAAAGGATTATTCCTTTATTCTCTCTATAAATTCATTTGAAGTGTGGTGTTAGGGAACCATGCCTAAGTTTAACTCTTCCAGTGTTTATCAGATCATTTTTTTCCCTACGCTATATAATCTTAAACATCTTAAACAATTCCTTGACGTTTTTCTATTACCTTGTATTTTCATTGACTATATTGCCATTTCTAGATTTTCTGGTTAATGTACAAATTGAATTATTTTGCATTTCCTTGGTAATATAGGCTGTTGATACTAAAGGAGGAAAAACAAATGGACTTTAAAACTGGTCAAATGCGTCGGAAAGCCCTTTTTGGAGATGATTGTATGCTAACATCCTCTCTCCTTTCTTGATCTCTTAATTTTTTTTTCTTACCCAAGTATATGCAGGTCGATTTTGTCTTTCTAGAAGATCCAAGATCTTTGGTTTAGAGATATATTCTCTTAATGTTAACTGGTATTAAAATACTCTTTTCTGTATTTTATTTCAATACATTTTGAGAATAGAAATGATTGCATTTTCTTTTAACTTGTGAAGTAGAGCGTGGCATACATATGTTGTATGCTCAGTATTTCAAAAAATTACCTTCTTACTGTACAAGTTGTATTCAGCATATAAAGTCTATCCAGCTTTGTTTTAGATGCAGTGTGATTATTACATGTTGATAAGGTATGAATTGGAGATGGGATCCAAAATTACTATACTTACTGTAATTTTTAAGCTAATTGTAGGGTTGGTGGTGAATATTTTACTTCTGCAAAATGTAAACAGCATTTCATCAGAAGTTGTTTGATGGTCTTTCAGACATTTTGTTTTATATCTTTGGTGCTTTTTGCCCGTGAAGTATCTCTTTTGTGTATTTGTGTGTTTGTGTATTGATCTGCCTCCAAATTTCACAGCGCTCATTGTCAGGGATCGGCAGAATCAGGCCTAGGCAGAGAGCTGAGCAGTACTCTAGTATGTCTCTGTGTCTTGGTTGCCACATTATCTCTGTTGTTTATTTATAGACTGGAGAACTCTCTGACCTGTAACAAAGGTTGGATAGGTCAGAGACAATTGGGAGAGGAATCCTCTGCTCTATTGTCACCTGTGCCCCACGCCAAAATACACTCTGAAATCTGTATTTAAATATTCAATTTGTATGGTTAATGTATTCTTTTTTAATGTTAAAAAAGTAAATGATTGGTCAGCCTACAATGCAGGACTGACTGCATATTCTCTGTCTTGTATTTTTGCTTTATTTAAGCTAAGCTAGCCTTCAACGTTGGAAGCTGAATTGACAGTTGAAAAATAATGACACGTATACAAGGTGTGTTTGGAGGATTGCAGATGCAGGGGCACCGTACTGCTAAAGGAGTGTTGGAAGCTCACTGCAGAAGATAATAAAAGCCGACTGATGTGTATTACCTGCTGAAATGTAAGCTGGAGGCACAGGTGAAGATTGCTAAACCTAATGAGCAGTTGGGCAGATGAGACAGACTGTCAGGCCGTGGCAGTTCAGCAGTGGGCGTGCTGCCTGTGAACCAAGTCATTTGTTCCAGAGGCCTACACGTAAATACCACAAATAAAACTTTCCTTGTCACTGATATTTGGTATCACAATGAAATAGATGCTATCATTCAGATTTCCGGTTGAATTACCAGCCATTAACATCTGGTGATTTGGGTTGTAAAATTATTTTTAGTTTTGTCTGTTCACATTTCATCCATAAAGCACAAACAAGATATATTTTCCCACATAAGAATGTAAGCAGTATAAGACTTTAAAACACACTAATGAAATATACATGATTACATCCCTCAATGAACTAACACTTTCATCTGTGATCTATATTTTGCAGCACTCTGAAGTAACATTACAGTCCTTTCAGTGTGCTGTGTCATTTATATCCCTTACTTTATCCTAGGAATCCTGTATTGCCATTGAGCATATGAAAGTTGAGACATGTGCATAGCTTCTCCCTGTTGAGCCCATCAGTGGGGAGGAGCTATGTACCGGGGACATTTGGCAAAGATTTTCATGAGTCTGTTGGATGTAACAGCTCCTTAAGAAAACCTTACAGTTTACCTTCCCTATGTTTTACCATTTGTGAACTAAGGCTCAGTGATGTAAAATAGAACACATTCTGTGCTGTGGCATAACTGCAGCTTAGGTTTTCATATTCAAGACAAGCAGAGGTATAGCTGGAAATGTGTGAACGCTTATTATGCCTCAAGATCCCTTTTTTGGTTTAGTTGTGACATTTCCAAACAGCTGACTTGGGGCTAAAGCATCTTTCTATCTGGCATCAGTATTTCTAAGTTGCTTTTAAGCTGAATAAACATTTGGTTTTTATATTTAATTGCTTCAATGTGAAACACTGCAATTTAAAAAATTACACATATGTAATATAGTATTTTACACTAAATAATAGTGACTGGCAGTCCGTTGACTGAAGAAGTATTATTTTTCAGATCTTCTGCTCTGTGTCATCAGCTGTAGACACTGACCTGGTATTTATCTGGAAGGGCTGTCAGGGGTTCACAGTGCTGCCTGTGGGTTATCTCCAGACCCTTTATAGATGGCACTTTAGGACAGGGTGAGTCACAGGTTGCACTAGAAGTTGCCTTTGAAATTAGACCTAAGCTATGTGGAACTGGAACCCTTGTACGCAAGGCTCTCTATCATCCAAATCCTGCTGAACTCTTAAGGAAGAACAGTTTTCCAGATTCATTTTTTCCACACACAAGATTTCCCCACTGCCCAATTACTCTCACCTTTTTTTTTCTTGACTGTTATGTTTTACTCGACTCTGGAGTCTTACCTTGTACTCTCACCTTTGCGTGGGAGTGTACCTATTTCACCAGTTATACTATCTGTTTATCAAAAGCAGAAGTAGTTACTTACACCTGAAAATTTGTACCGAGAATATAGCTGTGAATATGTTAAGAAAGTATACTTAAAGTAAGAAATCAAAGGAAGTGTATTTAAATCAAAGCAAGAAATCCCATTTCTAAATGGCAATAAAGCGTGTGTTGCATAGAGAGAATCAGTGCATGAAAGTGTTTTAGTAGCCCAGATTCGATTGTACACTGGTGAATAAGCAAGAGTTCTTTTTCATTTTCGTCTTGCAATTAACCGGGTATTTGGTTTCTTTTTCTATTCACACATGTTGGATAGAGACATGCATGTTGTAAATTATTTTGTCAGAATGAAAGCCTGGCAGATTTAATGCTTTCTTCTCTTCTTGCTGGACTTGATATCAATCTCTTCTTCGTTTCTTGATAATATGCTTGGTTATTTATGTTTTCATTGCTTTTAGTGTCAGAGATGGCTTTGGATTTCCAGTTCTGTGTGCTCCTGTCTGGCTCCTGAACCCAGCTGAAGAGATGAGTCAGTCCCAACTGGTGAAGTACTGAGAAGAAGCTAAGCAGAAGGCAGCAAGGTATTAATAAGTGTACCTCTGAGATTTTAACCACCTCTGACTGTTCCATGGAATGGACAAGTAGTAGTCTCTGTCAGAGTTACATTTTAAAGGAAAAAAAGAAACTTGAAGTCATCAACTGTTTATTAATTTATGCTGTTATTTTTGTGTTTACTCACCTGATTTATATTGACTTGTAAATTAGTAACTTATGAACTATTGTTTATGAATTCATTGTCTACATGTCAGCAAACAAATTTCCTTCTTAATAAAGAATCCGGTGGCTGGGCACAATGGTTCACATCTGTAATCTCAGCATGTTGGGAGGGCAAGGCAGGAGGATTCCTTGAGGCCAGGAGTTCAAGACCAGCATGGGCAACACAGCAAGATTTCATCTCTACAAAAAATGAAAACATCGGCTGGGCATGGTGGCTCATTCCTGTAGTTCAGGCTACTCAGGAGCCTGAGGTAGGAGGATCACTTGAACCCAGGAGTTTGAGGCTGCAGTGAACTGTGATCCTAACACTGCTCTCTAGCCTGGGTGACACACCAAGACACCATCTCTTCAAAGAAGGAATCTAGGGGCCTCAGTGTGTGCACGCAGCATGGCTTGTGAATGCGGAAGTGCATGTGTGCATATCTGTGCTCAAGAATGTGTTGATGATTATACCTTCTCAGAATGAAGGTAATTTTTTTTTTTTTTTTGAGATGGAGTCTTGCTCTGTCACCAGGCTAGAGTGCAATGGTGCTCTCAGCTCACTGCAACCTCTTCCTCCCAGGTTCAAGCAATTCTCCTGCCTCAGCCTCCTGAGTAGTTGGGACTACAGGCATATGCCACCACTCCCTGCTATTTTTTTGTATTTTAGTAGAGACGAGGTTTCACCATGTTGGCCAGGATGGTCTGGATCCCCGACCTTGTGATCCACCCCCCTTGGCCTCCCAAACTGTTGGGATTACAGGTGTGAGCCACCGTGCCTGGCCTGAAGGTCATTTTTATAAAGATCTCTCCATGTCTTAGATTTGATTCTTCCTTTAAATATTTTTCTCATTGACATTTGAAAGCACCTGACCATATATAAAATAATTTTCATAACTCCGTAAAAGGATAATTATGACATCATCTACTATTTCTGTCTCTTGTCTCACAAATCTAAACCATCAACCTCCTTATTTTTGTATACTGTCACACTGTGTATTCCCTGCATTGAATGCCTTTCTATTGATATTCTCTGTAAAAATTGTGGGAAGTTTTTTGCATCCTAAATTTTCTGTTACGGGGATTAAATATCCACTATCTATGTTTTTCCAAGTTTTACAGCAGCAACGGTAAATACCACCCTCACAGCAGCCTGTTTGTCCTGCAATTGTGTTTCTATCACATTACACAAAGCCTCTTTGTCTTCTTGGTCATACCCTACTAAGTTTTTAAAAAAATTATGTAATGTGTTTATATACAAATACATATATATATATGTGTGTACACATACAGCTGATATCTAGTGAGATTATGTAGCATGAACTATAGAATTAGCTTGTAATTTTAAGAAAATAAATTATTTTGTAAGGATAAATCTCATGTTTAAGGGGAATTACAATGGAATCATTTAGGTATGCCTCAGCCTAAACATAATACGGAAAAAGCCATAACCAAAAGTCATGTTAGAGTACTGCTAGGTTACTCAACCTATCATCACATTTAATTAAAATGTTAGTTTGAACCATGGCCAGTCTATTTTGGTTAATATATTATTGAAATCAACTTGTGAAGTCTTCATTTTAAATATAGAATTTGTGTTAATGAACCGGAAAATAACATTCTGTTGCTTGGAAGATGTGTTAAAGCCTAAAGATTTATGACTTTGTAAAAGAAGAAAACCAGCTGGTGATCAGTTGGCATTAGTGCACGAAGATATACTCATATTTGGTAATAGCCATTTTTTTCTAACTAGAATAAGGGAGTTGGGAACGGGAGGCAGAGACAAGGACACGGCTGTATAAAAAATCATAGAACAAAACTGCATTGAGTTCTGAGTGTGGGTCTGTGATCCATGCTTCAGTTTGAGAGGTTCATGTGTCCCTTATAAGAAGGGACAGGAAAGCCAGGAGGACAGGAGTATGTTTGGGTCTGTGCCTGTGCTTCCACCACAGAAGTCAGCAGCTCTACCTTTCTCTTTTCTCTTCTTTATCTAATAATTGTCTCCTCTTCAAATTTGGGAAATGAGCTTAATCAAAGGTTTGTTGTGTTATTGTTTGTTTGTTTTTGAAATGTGGCCTCAGTGTGTTGCCCAGGCTGGTCTTAAACTCCTGGGCTCAAGTGATCCTCCCTCTCAGCGTCCTGAGTAGCTGGGAGTACAGGCGTGCATCACCACACCCAGCTAATGCTAACGTGTAGTTTATCTGCTTCAGTTTTGAAGGGCGGGATGTATGTAGTTCTGTGTGTGTGGGGGGAGTATTTTGTGTGTGTGTGTGTATATATATATATATTTATACGTTACTAATCCATTGTTGCTACAACAATGGACTGTGAGGGCATAAAACAAATTTATACTCCTGTATGTCAGAGTCTGATGTGGATCTCACTGGGCTAAAATCTAGGCGGTGGAAAGGCTACCTTCATCTCTAGAGGCTCTAGGGGAGAATCTTTTTTCTTGCCTTTTCCACATTCTGGAGTCTTCCTGCATTTTTTGGCTTTGGGCTCTTCTCCACTCTCACCATTAGCATCCTTGCATCTCATGGACCCTTCTTCTATGGCCACATGTCTCTGTGGCTCTTTCCTTCCCCCTTCCTTCCACTGTTAAGGACTCATGTGCTTACTTAGTCCTGAATGGAGACGCCATCCTCATCCACATGAGCCCACTGTCCTAATCTATACAGGCTGCTATAAGGAAATGCACTAGACCGGGCAGCTTATAAACAACAGAACTTTGTTTCTCACAGTCCTGGAGGTTGACAAGTGCAAGATCAAGTTGCCGGCAGTTTCGGTGTCTGGAGAAGGTCTGCTTTCTCATGGAGACCTCCTTCTTGCTGTGTCTTCACATGATGAGAGGAACAAACAAGATCCCTTGTGCTTTTAATAAGGGTGCTAATCCCAGTCATGAGGGCAGAGTCTCCTGTAAGGCTTAACCTCCTAATACGATCACCTTGAGGGTTAGGATTTTAACACAGGAACATTGACGGAACACAACGTTCCTTCCATAGCACCAGGGTAGTCTCCTCATGTCAAGGTCTTTACCTTAATTACATGTATGATGTACCATTTTCATGTAAGGTTCTAGGAATCTGTGGACATCTTTGGGGGGCCATTATTTTGCTGACCACATTATACATAATTTAATATTCTAGACTAGAATGAAAACAATGCCACTTCCATTGCTTTATATATGTGTATGTGTGTGTATATATATACACATTATCTAATGCTATAATTAAATAAAACCTTGTAGACACAAATATACCCTTTTTTTAAAAAAAAAAAAAAATTTTTTTGCTATTTTACATCATACTGCCAACTCCTCTTTCCTGAAACTGCTTCAACCCTGGGATTCTATTTTGCTATTAGTTTTATTTTATTGAAATATTCATGAATGAGCATTGACTTGTATATGGATTTGAAAGTTACAGTAATGTTCTCATGAATTCATCTGTGAGTAACATTTTATAGACAAACTGCCTGCACCAGGATCAGGACAAGAGGAAGATGTATAATTCCCTTGTTCTAAGGTACCACTGTTCATTGTTATTATTTTAAAATATGAGTGTTGACTGATGTTAGGACACGAAAAGGGGCCGGGAGTGGTGGCTCCCGCCTGTAATCCCAGCACTTTGGGAGGCCGAAGTGGACGGATCACCTGAAGCTGGGAGTTCAAGACCAGCCTCGCCAACATGGAGAAACCCTGCCTCTACTGAAGACAGATAAGACCAGGATAAGACAGGATGGACCAGGATAAGACAGTGCTGTCCTGGAGCTGGCCGTCTGATAAGGGGCTCCAGAAAGTGCAGTGATGGACCTCTGGGAGGCTTTCTGCTCTCCTGATCGCAAGTTTTTGGTGAGAAGACCTATTGGCCACTAGGGGTGTGTGTGTGTGTGTGTGTATGATGTGTGTTTTCTTTCAGCATAAAGCCCACTGTTTTGCTGAATGTATTCACTGTTTCCTGAAACTCAGTACATTCAGCTGGCTTAAGGGTCCTGGGGCCTGGCTGTGTCATATTTGCACAAGCCTAGTGTCTGTGCAGACTGTCCACTGGAGTTCAGTTGTAAGATCCTTTTGATCCCTTATTCTGTCCCTGTAATAGAAAAGCCATTTCATTCAGTGGAATAGAAACCCAGATATAATGGGGAGATGTTCTAATCTGCCATACACTGGGGCAGTGGCCAGTGATTTGGACTTTGTGGCGTAGATGGAAATTTCCAGGTTCTCTAGGTGGTGGGCAGAGGCCTCACTTTTTAAGAAACTTCCCCCACTCCACCCCTGCGAATAAGGTCGTTGCTTGGAGATATTTCCATCAGTGTTAAGTAGAAGAGATCATTTCCTGATGTTGAATTTCAGGTACGGATGCCAGCTTCTGTATATCAGGGTAGTGGTGCTTGGGCTGAGACAGGCCTAGACAGCACTGTCTGAAAGGGGCTCAAGGAAGTAGCTGTGAAAGGCCCCTGGGATGTTTTCTGCTCCCCTCTCTACAAATCGCCTAGAGGGAGATCCTGTTAGTCACTATGAGGGGTGTGTGTGTGTGTGTGTGTGTGTGTGTGTGTGTGTGTATCACTTGTTGCTGGGGGGTGGGAAGAGACAACAAAAGCCTACAGAATCTGTAGTTATCAGTTCATCTCCCATCCTCGTCCAATCATGGCCTAACATCCTTAGCTCCTGATCGCAGAGGAGACTCTGTGCATTTGTGTTCATGTGGCCGTGGATGTTGGTAGATTCAGATTGGTGCCCCAGGCATCTGTGCCTGTAACTGCAGGTTCAGCAGGCTGAGGACCAGGCTAAAGGGCCTCCAAGCTTCCTCCAGTTTCCTGGTGCATACGTGTGCAATATACCCCCCTGGCCTGGGGCTTTCCTACCTCTTCTTGCCAGTTAGGTCAGAACTAGCTTATTAACCAGGGTTTTCTGAGCTTTAATAGAACTGGCTCTGACCCATTGGAGACTTGAAAAGGGCTTCATGATAGTTATAGATTTTTAAAGATATATTATTATTTTAGAGTAGTTTTGAGTGTACAGCAAAATGGAGTGCAGAGTGCAGAGATCTCATATGCCCTCAATTCCTGTACACGCTCGGGTCACTCCACAAACAACCTCCTACAGCAGAGACACTTTGAAACATTAGAAAAGATATGTGAGCATTCAGATATTTATAAACTAGGCAGCGCCAGACTGCAGGCAGCTCAGAGGTCCTACAGAGAGACTTAGGGACGGTTGGGGGAGAATTTTACATGGTGAATGTGGAAGAAAAAGAAAATACTTGATTGAGTAAAGTGGAGCAGTGGCCTCATTTGGAACATTACAGTGAAAAGTCTCTAGTTAGATGTTAGTTGGTGGTTTCTGATTGGTTAAGCTTAAGTTTCCTTTTATTATTTACACTGAGTCAAGTTTTGGTTTGGTTAAGGAGGAATTGGGTGCACTGCAGCCAGCTCAGCCTCAGGGCCACCTGTTTATCTGATTATTTTTAACAGAGAAGATCCTTTTAGAACTGTCTGTTACCCTGGCTGGAGTGCAGTGGCATGATCACGGCTCACTGCAGCCACAACCTTCCAGGCTCGAGTGATCCTCCCACCTCAGTGCTCCCCACCCTGAGTAGCTGGGACTACAGGCACATACCACCACACCACCATGCTAGGCTAATTGTATTTGTTTGAGCGATGGAGTTTCCCTAAGTTGCTTACACTTCTTTCAAACTCTCAGACTCAAATAATCTGTCTGCATTGGTCTCCCCAAGTGCTGGAATTACAGGCCATCTAAATCTTATATCTCAGATTTACCTTGTTACAAAATGAGGGGTACCTTTTCTGACATGATGAGGCAGAGAAAGGGGAGGTGGGTGCATTCTGTGCGTATTATTTTCTCAGGTGATGGGAATATGGTCGGCTCTTGCCTAATGGGATATATTTTCTCCTTGAATGATTTCACAAGATGTCAGATGAAAGAAGTTGAATAAATGTTAGAAGAACATAGAAAAAATAGGTTATACATGTTGGGCTTCTGAAGAAATAATGTCATTGGAGAAAAAGAACTTTTATTGATTTCTGGAAATATTTAGAGCCAATTTTTTGTGTAAGTAATTTGAATGTATGATGATATCTCTGACCACTTTTTGATATTTTTTCTGGTTCAACTGAGTGGTGTCATTGAGGAAACACAAAGGGAGGTTCATCCGGGAATGAGATTTTGCCAGAGAAAGGACAAGCAGCAAGTCAGGGAGCTTAAGGTAATTATGAGAAAGTGACTATCTAAAATTGCTTAGGTAGAAGGAGACAGATTGGGTTTTTGTGTGTTTGGTATTTGGGGTAAGAGGGGCATGAGTGTGTACGTGAGATGTGTTGTTTATTCTCTCTCTCTCTTTTTTTTTTTTTTTTTTGCTTTTAAAAGGGAGTGTAGCTCTGTCGCCCAGGCTGGAATACTGTGGCACAATCTTGGCTCACTGCACCCTCTGCCTCCAGATTCAAGTGATTCTTCTGCCTTAGCCTCCCGAGTAACTGGGATTACAGATGCCTGCCACCACACCCAGCTA